GTCATACGCAAAAAAAAAAAAAAAAGGTCATTTAGGCCGCGCGCGTGGGCACCAGTCAAGTTGGACGCACGCACGCGCACACGATCGCGCACCAGCTTGTGTGTGTATATGTATATATATATATATATGTATAGGAGGCGCGCGACAGCCATCATCATTAGAATTTTTTTTTTAAACTGATCCATTGCTGCGGTGCGCGTTCACACGTGCACACACGCGCGCGCGCACACGCCTAAGGTGATCCATCGCTGCGGTTCGTCTGCTGTGAAATATTTTCTCTTCCCTCAACACACACACACACAAGAAAGAAAAAAAAAAAAAAAAACAAGCAGTGCGTTTTTTAATGTTTTTTCAAATGTAAGGCTCATTCGCTCAGAAAGCCAGAATAAAATTCCGTCCTACCAGTTTGGAAACTCAGCAGCAAACTCAGGAGCAGCAGCCTCTGCATGGTTCAGCCGACCAATAAGTCCGTTATTGGCTCAGACCTCCGTGAGGACAGCATCAAAAAGCGGGAGTTTACGGACTTTAACAACACGGAGACAAAGAAGAATAATCCTCCTGCGTCGTCCCTCCTCGTTCGTCCCCTCACTCGGGCTGGACTCGCTCTGGTTTTACACCATTTCACTGCTTTTCCCTTTTTCTTTTTTTTTTTTTTTTATCCCTCTCTCCTCTCCTCTCCTCTGCTCTCCAGCGACAGTCCGTTTTCTACTCTGAGGAGGTGAAGCTGACGGCGGTACAACGTGGAAGTTCCGGTTATGGTCTTCAAAATAAAATGCAAACTGAAGGAAGCGGTTTAACGTTGCTTCCTAAACCTTTTTTTATTAATGACGATAAGAATGATGTCTGTGTAGAACTGACAACAGCAACAACAATAACAATAATACATTTTATTTTTATGGCTCTTTTCATAACTGGACTTATTTGCTAAATATATCTAAAAGCTTTTAAATTAATCCCAGGGTCTAGGTGCAGAAAAAGTAGTTTAAACTTCTGGGACTAATGTTATCATTAATTGTTGCTTGCTCAGAAGACATTGTGCAAGTCCACAAGACAGGTTGAGGAGAGAATTGAAGATCCACTAGTGGGCCTAGGATGCAAAGTGGGCAGAATTTTATTTAAGCTAATGCACTTTTTAGTTCCTCTCGATACCAGTTTGGGGTGTTTGTACTCCCAGTAGTGGAGAGTAAAGCTACATGTGGACCAAAGATCACTGAATCGGCTCGTTTTCTTTTCCTCAAGTGTGTTGGAATAATTTAGTGGTGACTGTGGTGGCAAGAAAATAGTAATGTTTCTTTAAATAATAATTATAATAACAACTTTATGTGTAGGGAACAAGATCCCGAACGTACGATATAAAACAAGATAGAATAGTTCAGTCAACATTTCAGCACAAGTTAAAAAGAAAGAAGAGAAGAAAAAAGCTTAACGAAGTAGCCTAACAAGTGTAAATATTGGACCCTGCATTGTTATTTATTGTATGGTGTTGCTGGAATAATTTGCATATTAGGGACCACCACTTTCCCTTACTTTAATGCAAATTAAAGCTAAGGCCCTACATTGTTAATAATTATAGAGAATAACTTAACTAATCTAATAATGTAGCCATGGTGTTATAAATTGTAGAGCTTAACCTACAGTACATGAAAAACCCAACAAATCCAACGCTGATCCACCGCTAAAAAGAAACCTGTGTTTTATTGTGAAAATACCCCCACCATAGTTAAGAAATAAAAGTAAAATGTAAAAAGTTCTTTTTGATGTACCCCCCAATGACTGAAATAAAGTGATTTCAAAAGTGACCAAAAAAAAATAAAAGCTCACCCAACGTGACCACGCTCTACTTCCGGGCTGTAATCACTCCAGCTTGACGTCATTTTCTCATTAGCGGCGCATTCCTCTCTCTCTCTCTCTCTCTCTCTCTCTCTCTCTCTCACGTCAGCAGCACCACAGCACTGCCCCCTTTTCTCTCTCCCTCTGGATCCTGCACAGGCTAACACCGGCAAAAAAAAGAGATACATTATGAAAAAAAATAAATAAAATAAACCAGCTTAGAGAGGCATAATCATTTTGACACATTTGCTGTAGTAGGAACTGCTTGTTGTTGTTTTTTTTCCCCCCTGTGTGGCATTATGTAGTGAAACCTTTTTTTTCCTGGATACCTTAACTTACCCCTATGGACTGTGTGTCCTTCTGCTCTTATAATTCACATCATGTCAGTGTACAGATATAAATATCTTGAGGGATATCATAGGAGGGGATGAGCAGACGCCTCATGTGAACGCAGACAGTTAAATATAGTCTCTGAGGTGGGAAGCAAACTTCAGGAGATGAGAGGGGGGACGAAGAGTTCCAGCAGGAGCAGCACTGGAGGTAAACACTGACATTGTTCCTCCCCACAAGAATATTCCGTGCAGTGATGTCAGTGTGATGAAACAGCCCCAGCAGATGATGAACAAACACACCATGTCCTCATTCCTGTCACATAATGTAGGCTGCTGCAGATTTGGCTTCCTTTTCTTTTCTTTTTTTTTTTTGGTGACGGATCCCCGTGATACTGTAGCTGTCACAGCTCAGTGGGTCTCCGACGGTGAGAGCCGGTTCCTCCCGTGTCATACCGGAGGGGGAACGAGAGACCGAAGAAAGAGACGGAGGGAGGCTTTTAGGCTGATGCTGCAGCGCCCCCCTGCGTCCTCGACCCGGAGCGACCTCTGCGTGCGCTCCGAGCGCAACTGGAGCAGGAATCCCAAAATATCACACTAACACACACACACACACACACACACACACACACACACACACACACACACACACACACACACGGAGTATGCTGGCTGTGTTATTGTCGGGATTCAGATGTAATCCTGATGAGACATGTGAACCTGCACATGCTCACCTGTTCTGGTCACAGCATCGATGCTTCACAAACATCTTTACCAAAAAAAAAAAGGCAAGCAAATAAAGAAATAAATAAAATGTTTTAAAAAGGTTCTGAATATACAGTGTAATATAAATAAGTACATAAATAAATAAAAGGTTTTTAAAAAGAAAGAAAAAAGTGTACATTTAAAGAAAAAAGGAAAATATTTGTTTAAAAATGATCAAATAAAATACATAAATTGTGATATTTTGGCTGATTTAACTACAGGGAAACAATGGGATTTTAAAAGATCATATTGCTAATTGTAAAAATACATATTTTTGACGTGGACATCATGTACAGTTGTGGTATGTTATTGTGTTTTTTAGCTTTATTGAGTGTCTAAATGGAAAGACATATTTTCTTTCTTCTTCAGTCCTTCATGTACGTTAGTTTTCCTTCCAAATAACAGCAAATACCAGAAATATGTGTATGTTTTTACCGATTGAAATACAGTGAAACCATGTTTTACAATCACAAACGGTAAAAATAATTTAATATCGATTTGTAAAAATAGTGATTTTTCAGCTGGACTTTACAGCTTGTTTGCTTGCTTTACCAGTCGACATGTAAACTAATATTTTTCTTTTACAATCTGTAAACTAGCAAAACAATAAATATATATAAAATAACAGCTAGCAAATGTGTTAACTGCTTTTCAATCATTCACATACAGAGTTTTTCTTCAGAAAATGGCAAATAAATGTAAAATGCTATTTTTGCTTATTTAAATAGAGTTAAGAAAAAGTGTAATTTTATGAAAATGCAAAAGATGTGGACATTATTTACAGCTTTGGCCGGATGTATTAATGTTTTTATTAATATTTTTTCTGTGATTTTATTCGTTGTTATCTGTATTTTTTTACACAAGAAATGTGCTGAAGGAGGATTTACTGTTGACCATTCCTGTGTATTGTAGTTTTAATGGTGTTATGTTTCTGTTTCTTTACTATTATTTTAGGAAAATGATCATTTTAAGTCTCTGTTGTGGTTGTGAAGGTGCAAAACCACAGAAAGAACACAAGTACTGAATACACACATTGAAAGGTTATTAATCTGTTTCGATGTGAACCAAAAGCAGCTTAATGCTCAAGATTTTTCTATTGTTAGTTTGGGTTCATCACCAAATCAGTCACAGGAAGAAAAGTGATGTGGCTGCACGCTCTGTGTTTCCCTTTCAAACGCTCCCTGATTCTTCTCTAACAGCACAATAATCTGCCATCAAAACATCATCAGCTCGTCCAGCTGATAAAAAATGACCGCAGATCTGCCGTGTGGCTGCAGAGTGACTCATCTCTGCCGGGACTCGAACCCGGAGCCTCTGGATTAGAAGTCCAGCGCGCTATTCCATTGCGCCACAGAGACTGCGCCAGGATAACCCGGGCCTAGCACGGTTTACATACCTCACATCCCCCCCTTATCGTCGCTCTCTGTATCCCTGCAGCATCAGGACCACTCTGAGCCGACATGTTGGCTGTACCGGCGCCGACCACCAGAGGCCGCTGTTGCAGCGCGCTGAGAGGGGAAGTGCGTCAAGCTGGCTGGAGTGCAGCAGAACGTTTAGAGCATGGGTGTAAAAAATAGAAGTCTCTACTAATATAAATATAGCTTCAATAATGAGGCTAATCTCTTCAATATTGCACTCAATCATAAACTAGTACTCAGTGCGGATAGAATTAAATTCACAATCGTCACCAGAACCAGTGTGACAATCTTTCCATCAACGCAAAGAAACAAACATGACTTAGCTTATCTTCAGTGTGACACAAACAGATTCCAAATGGATTACTACAAAGGAAGAGTCTCTGGAGAGCTTTAATCCTTGAACAATGATGGGAAGTCTTGTACTATTTACATCACTGGCTTTATGCCAATATCAGATGTGTTGATATTGTCCAAATCTCAATTTCTGATTCCGATATCAACCGACACCGATATATGTTTGTTGCTGCAGCCACACTTGTTTACACACTTCACAACTCAGTTTTTACGTCGTCATCATTTGCGTGTCATTAAATGCCAGTGAAATCCAGGAATTATTTTATTGGTTTGTATTATAGTCGGAAATTTTTTTTTTACCAATGTTGACAGATATTACTTTTTCAATATCGGCCTAATTATTTCAACTCTTTTTTTTTTTTTTAGTTTAACAGGTGTCAAATGGGACAGTTGTTGTTGTTGTTTACTTGCAGAATGATCTGAAAACAAAGCTACATATTTCAGGTTGAATTAACTTGAAACTTGTTCAATGCTATACAAATATTGCAAGAGTTTAAAAATCTTGGAATTTGGATCAGTGAGACTTTTGGGTGCCAAACAGGTGCTAATTTATGACAATGAACTGGCATCTTTAATAGGAATACTTCCCAGTGTAAGAACATGTTTATTGAGGCAGCTTTATTATGGTCTGAGTTGTAATAAAAGTTGCCTTAATTAATACAGCCGAGGCTTTAATTTTGAAAGTCCGCTAACAGGAAGCGTGTTTAACTGACGGTAGCTTGTCGCTCCAAAGAGCCAAAATGGAGCTGCGGGTTTCTCGTTTTTGCATCTTACAATTATATTTACAAAGCTATAATTATTGAAATATATATCGTTTTGTTGCGAAATCTATAAACAAAAATGATTATCGCTTAAATATAAAGCCTCTCGGGAATAAAACGCGTTTTTTTTTTTTAAATCAACTGCGGGCCGAGAAAGGGCTTGATTTCCCTGTTTAAACGTCTGAAACATTTAAGATGTATGATGATATTAATTTATTGTCTTTTTCACTCTTCGCAGTCTGATGGATTTTAGGTTGTGGAGGTGTGTGTGTGTGGAGGTCTTTCGTGGAAATCTCTCCTCAGCTGGATGGAATAATACTGGGATTACACCAGGGTTGCATCAGAAAACCAATTACGCACCTCCTTCCACACACCCTACACCAGACTGTGACAGCCTCATTAATTTCATGTCATACACACTTGTGTGGACTTTTCAAGGACATCCAAGCAGAATTAGATCCAGGTTTTTGTGTGTCGTCCCCCACCTCCGTGCAGCTGGGCGATGGGCAGCATATCACACAATCAGAGGAAAATGAATTGGAAACTGTGAAATTCCACTGGACAATGAGCGCAACACATCTGGGCTTTAGACAGGCGGCTATTTTTGAAAGAAATCCTCAGACACTGAATCACAATGTGGCTTGTTATATGTCGGCTATTTTTGTAGAACATAACAAAGGAATAATGTGAGCTAGTGGACATCAAAACGACAACATGTTTGGGAATAATCACTGATTTGTCAGATGATTCCAACTTGCAATAATTCCATAACTTCTAAGTTGACAAGCTGAGTGTTTCTTCTCATGTACAAGCAAAACAGAAAGATTATATTAAAGATACAGACCCCACAGTTAATATTCCACCTGTCACAACTGAGTTAGAAAGCTGTGATTTCCAATTAGCCTGATCACATGACCATACAACAGTCTCACACCTATGAACCGTGTCTACATCATGGCTCCGTATGGAAAAGAACTGCCAGAGAAAGTGAGAAATATGATTGTAAAGCCTCACAGATGTGAAAAAGGACACAGGAAGATCAGTGACCAGCGGAAAAAAACATGAGTCGAAAGTTGCAGCAACAACAGGAGGTGTAGAATGAGTTGTGGTACCACTAATCAGAGCTGTCCTCCGAAAAAGTGTGACAATGTGCCAGTTACACAGAAAAGCTCTGAAAAAATCAGTTAACCTGGTGTTTGTTCTGTGGAAAGCTTCCGAGACAAATGACCTCGCTTGCCGTTTGGCGCAAGACGAAACTTGCAGAAGATGAAAAGAAGCCTGAGAGCGAATTCTTAGATCAGATGATGGTCGGGATGAATTTGTTCGGCTCAGATGGGCACCACAGTGGATCCACAGTCCTGACAGGGAAGTGGGAGTGGGCTGACACGGTGCTGCGTGAGGGCAAAACACTCCCAGCCTGCAGAAGCTTGGCAGAAAGGGAATATTATAGCGTGGCAATGATCAAAAACACACAAGCAGAAAACAGTGAATCTATGACCTGGACAAGTGCTTAAACTCAACAGAGCGCCTTTGGGATATTTTAAGGCAATAAGGATTGAATCTGTCAGCAAAAATCAATGTGGACAAATGAAGCACTGAAAAAAAAAAATCTAGATTTGAACATTAGCACTCGAAATGAGCCTTTTCACATTTTTATACGTGCGGTTTTTCAGTTTCTGACACATTTGAGCCACACAATTCAGCAAGTTTGAAGAAACTTTGCAGATTCTCTGGAAGGCTACCGTTACAGAAGGAGTGCTTGCTCACACTTTCTCTATAATCAGGAAATCTGGAACTTCTCCGAAATAAACCGCAGACACAAGACAATTCTTCGATCTCACTTTTGGTTTCTGTTCCAATCTACTGAACAAAGTAATCTCAAATCGGACGGGTCTGCTGTCAAACTGTTGTGCCATCGAGATAAGTCAATGCAGAAGTGGCTTTGCGGGTTGTTTCACGTACTGTTCAATGTTGTGACATTTCCTCTTTCTGGGTTTTGTGTGCTGATAATGTGAATTACCAGCGAGTCTCTCAAACTAAATTTCTCTCATAAAAGCATAATGTATGACAGGAATGTGTTGTTTTTTTTGTCCAAACTATTCATAAAGTGACAAACATGGTGTAAATTCAAAGCAAATCTTTAATGCAGAATATAGTGAGGTAATCATTTCTACTGGTACTATATTTACAAAACTAGAAAAAACCTGTTTATTTACTAGTGAGGGAACATGATGAGACAAGAAAACAGTAAGAGAGGAGTTTGTGAATAGATTTAGCAAGTGAGACATCAGGAAGACATTTCTACCTTTGCACAGAAGCGGTGAATCAGCGGTTGTGGCCCTGGACACAAGCCGTTGTTTAGGCCCAAGAGCAAATCTGCTCTGATCACACTTCTCCAAAAAGCTTGAGTTATGCAAAGAAAATTCTATTCTGCTGCAATGTAGCGGTGACAAATACAGACTTCTTCTTCCGTTTCCATGTTTCCTGTCTTTGTGCAAAGGTACATATAGATGTTTTTTCTGAGGAGGTGAACTCTCTCCAAGGTTCAAACAAAAGCATTTTGTGTGTCATGTTCCTGCACCTCATCCCATAGTTTAGCGATCACTTTTTGGCCCCTGTCTTTCTGAACATCTGCAAATGTACATAGGGTAAAAAAAACTGCATAAAGTGAATAATAAACAATTTATAAGAAGCGTTATAACCAGCATGTCATCCAAACATTCAAACTAGGAACTATTTCACGCGCCAGTGTTTTATTCTTACGCCCTTCAACAGGCGCTTTGTCTGTTGAAGAGGCTTCAGTCTACCTTCCATACAAAACAACTTTAAGATCTTCAGTTACCAGGGTGTCTTCAAACACCGTACATTCATTGGAGCTGTCTTCTTGTGCACTATTAAAGAGAGCAAATGTCACAACCTTCAGGTGATTTTTTTTTTTTTTAGCTCTTCAAACTTCTCAGGGCTGTTCTGGAAGCAGAAATAAAGAAAATCATTGGAGAATTTATTTGAACCATAAGTGCAGGTTTGAGCTTCGACCTTGAGTTTGCACAATAAAAAGCGATGAATTAAGGGTGTTCCAGCCCAGTTTTGTGATAAATTTGCTGCCCTTGAGTTGAAAAACAACTGGTTTAGCTGTATTTTGCTGGCGGATGTCTCTTTTAGGCCTTGAGCTATTTTCTGTTCCTGCAGACAATGAACTACATAAATCAAAATATTCCAAAAAGTCCTAATTGTGACATTAATGATCTCCGAAGTTTAGCATCCTTGTTAGCTTGGTAGTTAGTTTTTGGTGGTCTAGCAGGTAAACAGTGATTGGAAACCAGACCAAACCTCTGGTCAACAATCCGGGCATTTGGGGCCTTAAGCAGCTTATCAAGGTGGTTAAAAGCTTTTTTTTTTTTTAATGCTTCTCTTATGCTCACAGACAAAAGACCAACAAGCTTTATCTCAATCTGAAAACACATGAAGTGCACAATCTTTCTAAAGTCCTACTGAAAAAATAGAAGGTTAGTCAAAGCTAAATGATCAGTCATTAAAATATGCATCCGCTGCAGTCTACCTGAATCAGTGTGATTCTTTAGGGTAGCCCAGTTTGTCATGCCAAAGTGCAATTAATCCATCGTCCAACAATGGGCAATGTTGTCCAACAGCTCGTTGGGGAATTGTTCACAGGGTCAGTAGGTTCATACTGGCCTTCAGTCCTCTCCGAGTCACCCATTTTTAGACTCAATAGGAGTCTGTCGTTGAAATGAGCGACACGTAATGTCTGGCAATAAGACGTACAATAGCTTTAACAGTATGGAAGCACCAACAGGGATAATGTTCACAGAAAAGAAAAAAAAGAAAAGAAAAAAGCAAGTGTTTCAGGGTAAACTTAGAAGATTGGTCCGCTGTTCTGGGGAAGATATCAAAAAGCAAACTAATGCTTGAATCAAAAATAAACCTATACATTTCTAAAAACACATATTCTTTTTTTTTTTTTTTGCATTGGCATCATTGGGACTACAGGTGACAAACCTGAACAACACAAGGATAAAAGTGCCTAGATTATGATAATTAACAGTCATATAAACAGTAAAAAACATTCCCTCAACCTCGGACCAGCCAATGTTCAGCATTTAACGCCTGGTTAATGCTTTAAAAAAATGCAACCATATTGCTTTAACGACTCCAGGGATACCTGATGATTACTGCTCAGCCTAAGTTTGTCCTATCCACTCAGGCTCTGCTGTCCGAAAAGGGCTCACAGAAGTAGTTGTTGGTGCAAAAATGTATAATGCTGAGCTCATTTAGTGCAAATAAAATGTGATCTTGGATGTAATTGTTTGGCTTGATGCAACGCGAATTGTTTTAGAAATGCTGGTGTGAATATGAATTCAAGGTAATGCGCTGGCTCGTCCTGGTGAGGAATTGTCATTCAGTGGAACCTACTCAATCTACGGTAAATAACAGCTGCTAAGCCGTGTGAAGTCGGCATCTCAGCTGCATCAGTGTGTGCACGGTTTGTGCGAACGCAGCTGCCAACGTGTTTTTGTTTTTTTTTTCACTCAAAGTGCGAGTTAGCATCAGAGACGTGTCAGCAATCTGGTGTGTAGACTTGCGGATCCATCACAGTGATTTCACAGGTGTGTTCTTCCTCTACTGGGATAGGAAAGTTCCAAACCGTGCCCTGGGGAAAAAAAAAAAGAAGACATAAAAGAAAACGTGAGAACGCATGTCTTCTTTACACTTTGGATTTTCAGACTTAACTGTGCAGGCGTATCTACTGCACGTCTGGGCAAAGATGGCAAACGCGTTTACAGTCCTGAAACTAATCCTTTAAAAATGTATCCCTGCACTTATGTGTGAATGCCAGGATCCACACTCTATCCACGTGTGAAACAAGCTGCCCTGTGTTACAGTCTTTTTCATTATCGACATGAATTTTGGCACAATTGTGGAAAAGAAGCATGGGAATGAAAATTTTAAAAAGTTTTACAATTCTTAATTTATGAAGTTCACTGTAAAATAAAGCAAAAAAAAAAAAAAGATAGATTAAGAAGCTTTAAAATTGCTTTCAGTGCAAATAAGTTTAAGTGTTTCTTTGATTACAGAGGCTCTTGAAGTCATGAACAATAGTTTTACAATGTTATTAAGCATTCAAATAGAGGAATGTAAAATTGGGTTTAAGAAAATAAGACCATCAGGGAAGAGTTAAGACTTAAAAAAAACCCCAAAAACTACAATTATCACCTTGCATGTGTTTGTTATAATGTCACGGTGAAGTTGATCTTTGACCACTTGAGTATAAAATATCAGTATGTGGAATTTTACCACAGTTACCACATGAATCCTTGAGTTACAGCCAAAAACGAGGTGACTTTAGATCACCAAAATGTAATCAGTTCGTTCTTGTTTCTGTCGAGACGCTCACCTTATTGTTGTTGTTGATGATGTCGCTGATGTAATCTGCAGGTTTTATGATTTTAGGGCAGATCTTTTTTATATTCCTGTACATTGAGAGAGTCGTATTAGAGGCAAATAGGAAACAGACTAAAATGAAAAGCAAAACAAAGTCGTCTTTACATACTTCCGGCAGCAGATAAACGTCAAGACCGCCAGGGCAGTGACCCCCAATGGGATGATGAAGGCCATGTACACCAACGCGTCGATATCTTTCCCTGCATCAAAAACAACAGCAACAGAAATGTCCGTCTTCTTAAAACTCAATGGAAGAAGTATTTTTCTACTCTTCTGATTTCATTTTGTAAAATAAATCTTTAAGATAAGAAAACCGTGACCGTACCAAAACACTCGTAAGGACTCCATGGTGTCTCTCCGCCGCCCGCTCTCTTAGCTTTAATAGCGATGCAGTACCTACAGTCAGGGTTTCGATCCAGCTCGCACGACGTGTTATTTGTGCGTTTATCCGGCTGAGAACCAAAGGAAAAAAGTGTCTTACAATTTCTGTTNAGCTCACCCAACGTGACCACGCTCTACTTCCGGGCTGTAATCACTCCAGCTTGACGTCATTTTCTCATTAGCGGCGCATTCCTCTCTCTCTCTCTCTCTCTCTCTCTCTCTCTCTCTCTCTCTCACGTCAGCAGCACCACAGCACTGCCCCCTTTTCTCTCTCCCTCTGGATCCTGCACAGGCTAACACCGGCAAAAAAAAGAGATACATTATGAAAAAAAATAAATAAAATAAACCAGCTTAGAGAGGCATAATCATTTTGACACATTTGCTGTAGTAGGAACTGCTTGTTGTTGTTTTTTTTCCCCCCTGTGTGGCATTATGTAGTGAAACCTTTTTTTTCCTGGATACCTTAACTTACCCCTATGGACTGTGTGTCCTTCTGCTCTTATAATTCACATCATGTCAGTGTACAGATATAAATATCTTGAGGGATATCATAGGAGGGGATGAGCAGACGCCTCATGTGAACGCAGACAGTTAAATATAGTCTCTGAGGTGGGAAGCAAACTTCAGGAGATGAGAGGGGGGACGAAGAGTTCCAGCAGGAGCAGCACTGGAGGTAAACACTGACATTGTTCCTCCCCACAAGAATATTCCGTGCAGTGATGTCAGTGTGATGAAACAGCCCCAGCAGATGATGAACAAACACACCATGTCCTCATTCCTGTCACATAATGTAGGCTGCTGCAGATTTGGCTTCCTTTTCTTTTCTTTTTTTTTTTTGGTGACGGATCCCCGTGATACTGTAGCTGTCACAGCTCAGTGGGTCTCCGACGGTGAGAGCCGGTTCCTCCCGTGTCATACCGGAGGGGGAACGAGAGACCGAAGAAAGAGACGGAGGGAGGCTTTTAGGCTGATGCTGCAGCGCCCCCCTGCGTCCTCGACCCGGAGCGACCTCTGCGTGCGCTCCGAGCGCAACTGGAGCAGGAATCCCAAAATATCACACTAACACACACACACACACACACACACACACACACACACACACACACACACACACACACACACGGAGTATGCTGGCTGTGTTATTGTCGGGATTCAGATGTAATCCTGATGAGACATGTGAACCTGCACATGCTCACCTGTTCTGGTCACAGCATCGATGCTTCACAAACATCTTTACCAAAAAAAAAAAGGCAAGCAAATAAAGAAATAAATAAAATGTTTTAAAAAGGTTCTGAATATACAGTGTAATATAAATAAGTACATAAATAAATAAAAGGTTTTTAAAAAGAAAGAAAAAAGTGTACATTTAAAGAAAAAAGGAAAATATTTGTTTAAAAATGATCAAATAAAATACATAAATTGTGATATTTTGGCTGATTTAACTACAGGGAAACAATGGGATTTTAAAAGATCATATTGCTAATTGTAAAAATACATATTTTTGACGTGGACATCATGTACAGTTGTGGTATGTTATTGTGTTTTTTAGCTTTATTGAGTGTCTAAATGGAAAGACATATTTTCTTTCTTCTTCAGTCCTTCATGTACGTTAGTTTTCCTTCCAAATAACAGCAAATATTAGAAATATGTGTATGTTTTTACCGATTGAAATACAGTGAAACCATGTTTTACAATCACAAACGGTAAAAATAATTTAATATCGATTTGTAAAAATAGTGATTTTTCAGCTGGACTTTACAGCTTGTTTGCTTGCTTTAACAGTCTACATATAAATTAATATTTTTCTTTTACGATCTGTAAACTCACAAAACAGCAAAAATATGTAAAATAACAGTTAGCAAATGTGTTGACTACTTTTCAATCATTCACATACAGAGTTTTTCTTCAGAAAATGGCAAATAAATGTAAAATGCTATTTTTGCTTATTTAAATAGAGTTAAGAAAAAGTGTAATTTTATGAAAATGCAAAAGATGTGGACATTATTTACAGCTTTGGCCGGATGTATTAATGTTTTTATTAATATTTTTTCTGTGATTTTATTCGTTGTTATCTGTATTTTTTTACACAAGAAATGTGCTGAAGGAGGATTTACTGTTGACCATTCCTGTGTATTGTAGTTTTAATGGTGTTATGTTTCTGTTTCTTTACTATTATTTTAGGAAAATGATCATTTTAAGTCTCTGTTGTGGTTGTGAAGGTGCAAAACCACAGAAAGAACACAAGTACTGAATACACACATTGAAAGGTTATTAATCTGTTTCGATGTGAACCAAAAGCAGCTTAATGCTCAAGATTTTTCTATTGTTAGTTTGGGTTCATCACCAAATCAGTCACAGGAAGAAAAGTGATGTGGCTGCACGCTCTGTGTTTCCCTTTCAAACGCTCCCTGATTCTTCTCTAACAGCACAATAATCTGCCATCAAAACATCATCAGCTCGTCCAGCTGATAAAAAATGACCGCAGATCTGCCGTGTGGCTGCAGAGTGACTCATCTCTGCCGGGACTCGAACCCGGAGCCTCTGGATTAGAAGTCCAGCGCGCTATTCCATTGCGCCACAGAGACTGCGCCAGGATAACCCGGGCCTAGCACGGTTTACATACCTCACATCCCCCCCTTATCGTCGCTCTCTGTATCCCTGCAGCATCAGGACCACTCTGAGCCGACATGTTGGCTGTACCGGCGCCGACCACCAGAGGCCGCTGTTGCAGCGCGCTGAGAGGGGAAGTGCGTCAAGCTGGCTGGAGTGCAGCAGAACGTTTAGAGCATGGGTGTAAAAAATAGAAGTCTCTACTAATATAAATATAGCTTCAATAATGAGGCTAATCTCTTCAATATTGCACTCAATCATAAACTAGTACTCAGTGCGGATAGAATTAAATTCACAATCGTCACCAGAACCAGTGTGACAATCTTTCCATCAACGCAAAGAAACAAACATGACTTAGCTTATCTTCAGTGTGACACAAACAGATTCCAAATGGATTACTACAAAGGAAGAGTCTCTGGAGAGCTTTAATCCTTGAACAATGATGGGAAGTCTTGTACTATTTACATCACTGGCTTTATGCCAATATCAGATGTGTTGATATTGTCCAAATCTCAATTTCTGATTCCGATATCAACCGACACCGATATATGTTTGTTGCTGCAGCCACACTTGTTTACACACTTCACAACTCAGTTTTTACGTCGTCATCATTTGCGTGTCATTAAATGCCAGTGAAATCCAGGAATTATTTTATTGGTTTGTATTATAGTCGGAAATTTTTTTTTTACCAATGTTGACAGATATTACTTTTTCAATATCGGCCTAATTATTTCAACTCTTTTTTTTTTTTTTAGTTTAACAGGTGTCAAATGGGACAGTTGTTGTTGTTGTTTACTTGCAGAATGATCTGAAAACAAAGCTACATATTTCAGGTTGAATTAACTTGAAACTTGTTCAATGCTATACAAATATTGCAAGAGTTTAAAAATCTTGGAATTTGGATCAGTGAGACTTTTGGGTGCCAAACAGGTGCTAATTTATGACAATGAACTGGCATCTTTAATAGGAATACTTCCCAGTGTAAGAACATGTTTATTGAGGCAGCTTTATTATGGTCTGAGTTGTAATAAAAGTTGCCTTAATTAATACAGCCGAGGCTTTAATTTTGAAAGTCCGCTAACAGGAAGCGTGTTTAACTGACGGTAGCTTGTCGCTCCAAAGAGCCAAAATGGAGCTGCGGGTTTCTCGTTTTTGCATCTTACAATTATATTTACAAAGCTATAATTATTGAAATATATATCGTTTTGTTGCGAAATCTATAAACAAAAATGATTATCGCTTAAATATAAAGCCTCTCGGGAATAAAACGCGTTTTTTTTTTTTAAATCAACTGCGGGCCGAGAAAGGGCTTGATTTCCCTGTTTAAACGTCTGAAACATTTAAGATGTATGATGATATTAATTTATTGTCTTTTTCACTCTTCGCAGTCTGATGGATTTTAGGTTGTGGAGGTGTGTGTGTGTGGAGGTCTTTCGTGGAAATCTCTCCTCAGCTGGATGGAATAATACTGGGATTACACCAGGGTTGCATCAGAAAACCAATTACGCACCTCCTTCCACACACCCTACACCAGACTGTGACAGCCTCATTAATTTCATGTCATACACACTTGTGTGGACTTTTCAAGGACATCCAAGCAGAATTAGATCCAGGTTTTTGTGTGTCGTCCCCCACCTCCGTGCAGCTGGGCGATGGGCAGCATATCACACAATCAGAGGAAAATGAATTGGAAACTGTGAAATTCCACTGGACAATGAGCGCAACACATCTGGGCTTTAGACAGGCGGCTATTTTTGAAAGAAATCCTCAGACACTGAATCACAATGTGGCTTGTTATATGTCGGCTATTTTTGTAGAACATAACAAAGGAATAATGTGAGCTAGTGGACATCAAAACGACAACATGTTTGGGAATAATCACTGATTTGTCAGATGATTCCAACTTGCAATAATTCCATAACTTCTAAGTTGACAAGCTGAGTGTTTCTTCTCATGTACAAGCAAAACAGAAAGATTATATTAAAGATACAGACCCCACAGTTAATATTCCACCTGTCACAACTGAGTTAGAAAGCTGTGATTTCCAATTAGCCTGATCACATGACCATACAACAGTCTCACACCTATGAACCGTGTCTACATCATGGCTCCGTATGGAAAAGAACTGCCAGAGAAAGTGAGAAATATGATTGTAAAGCCTCACAGATGTGAAAAAGGACACAGGAAGATCAGTGACCAGCGGAAAAAAACATGAGTCGAAAGTTGCAGCAACAACAGGAGGTGTAGAATGAGTTGTGGTACCACTAATCAGAGCTGTCCTCCGAAAAAGTGTGACAATGTGCCAGTTACACAGAAAAGCTCTGAAAAAATCAGTTAACCTGGTGTTTGTTCTGTGGAAAGCTTCCGAGACAAATGACCTCGCTTGCCGTTTGGCGCAAGACGAAACTTGCAGAAGATGAAAAGAAGCCTGAGAGCGAATTCTTAGATCAGATGATGGTCGGGATGAATTTGTTCGGCTCAGATGGGCACCACAGTGGATCCACAGTCCTGACAGGGAAGTGGGAGTGGGCTGACACGGTGCTGCGTGAGGGCAAAACACTCCCAGCCTGCAGAAGCTTGGCAGAAAGGGAATATTATAGCGTGGCAATGATCAAAAACACACAAGCAGAAAACAGTGAATCTATGACCTGGACAAGTGCTTAAACTCAACAGAGCGCCTTTGGGATATTTTAAGGCAATAAGGATTGAATCTGTCAGCAAAAATCAATGTGGACAAATGAAGCACTGAAAAAAAAAAATCTAGATTTGAACATTAGCACTCGAAATGAGCCTTTTCACATTTTTATACGTGCGGTTTTTCAGTTTCTGACACATTTGAGCCACACAATTCAGCAAGTTTGAAGAAACTTTGCAGATTCTCTGGAAGGCTACCGTTACAGAAGGAGTGCTTGCTCACACTTTCTCTATAATCAGGAAATCTGGAACTTCTCCGAAATAAACCGCAGACACAAGACAATTCTTCGATCTCACTTTTGGTTTCTGTTCCAATCTACTGAACAAAGTAATCTCAAATCGGACGGGTCTGCTGTCAAACTGTTGTGCCATCGAGATAAGTCAATGCAGAAGTGGCTTTGCGGGTTGTTTCACGTACTGTTCAATGTTGTGACATTTCCTCTTTCTGGGTTTTGTGTGCTGATAATGTGAATTACCAGCGAGTCTCTCAAACTAAATTTCTCTCATAAAAGCATAATGTATGACAGGAATGTGTTGTTTTTTTTGTCCAAACTATTCATAAAGTGACAAACATGGTGTAAATTCAAAGCAAATCTTTAATGCAGAATATAGTGAGGTAATCATTTCTACTGGTACTATATTTACAAAACTAGAAAAAACCTGTTTATTTACTAGTGAGGGAACATGATGAGACAAGAAAACAGTAAGAGAGGAGTTTGTGAATAGATTTAGCAAGTGAGACATCAGGAAGACATTTCTACCTTTGCACAGAAGCGGTGAATCAGCGGTTGTGGCCCTGGACACAAGCCGTTGTTTAGGCCCAAGAGCAAATCTGCTCTGATCACACTTCTCCAAAAAGCTTGAGTTATGCAAAGAAAATTCTATTCTGCTGCAATGTAGCGGTGACAAATACAGACTTCTTCTTCCGTTTCCATGTTTCCTGTCTTTGTGCAAAGGTACATATAGATGTTTTTTCTGAGGAGGTGAACTCTCTCCAAGGTTCAAACAAAAGCATTTTGTGTGTCATGTTCCTGCACCTCATCCCATAGTTTAGCGATCACTTTTTGGCCCCTGTCTTTCTGAACATCTGCAAATGTACATAGGGTAAAAAAAACTGCATAAAGTGAATAATAAACAATTTATAAGAAGCGTTATAACCAGCATGTCATCCAAACATTCAAACTAGGAACTATTTCACGCGCCAGTGTTTTATTCTTACGCCCTTCAACAGGCGCTTTGTCTGTTGAAGAGGCTTCAGTCTACCTTCCATACAAAACAACTTTAAGATCTTCAGTTACCAGGGTGTCTTCAAACACCGTACATTCATTGGAGCTGTCTTCTTGTGCACTATTAAAGAGAGCAAATGTCACAACCTTCAGGTGATTTTTTTTTTTTTTAGCTCTTCAAACTTCTCAGGGCTGTTCTGGAAGCAGAAATAAAGAAAATCATTGGAGAATTTATTTGAACCATAAGTGCAGGTTTGAGCTTCGACCTTGAGTTTGCACAATAAAAAGCGATGAATTAAGGGTGTTCCAGCCCAGTTTTGTGATAAATTTGCTGCCCTTGAGTTGAAAAACAACTGGTTTAGCTGTATTTTGCTGGCGGATGTCTCTTTTAGGCCTTGAGCTATTTTCTGTTCCTGCAGACAATGAACTACATAAATCAAAATATTCCAAAAAGTCCTAATTGTGACATTAATGATCTCCGAAGTTTAGCATCCTTGTTAGCTTGGTAGTTAGTTTTTGGTGGTCTAGCAGGTAAACAGTGATTGGAAACCAGACCAAACCTCTGGTCAACAATCCGGGCATTTGGGGCCTTAAGCAGCTTATCAAGGTGGTTAAAAGCTTTTTTTTTTTTTAATGCTTCTCTTATGCTCACAGACAAAAGACCAACAAGCTTTATCTCAATCTGAAAACACATGAAGTGCACAATCTTTCTAAAGTCCTACTGAAAAAATAGAAGGTTAGTCAAAGCTAAATGATCAGTCATTAAAATATGCATCCGCTGCAGTCTACCTGAATCAGTGTGATTCTTTAGGGTAGCCCAGTTTGTCATGCCAAAGTGCAATTAATCCATCGTCCAACAATGGGCAATGTTGTCCAACAGCTCGTTGGGGAATTGTTCACAGGGTCAGTAGGTTCATACTGGCCTTCAGTCCTCTCCGAGTCACCCATTTTTAGACTCAATAGGAGTCTGTCGTTGAAATGAGCGACACGTAATGTCTGGCAATAAGACGTACAATAGCTTTAACAGTATGGAAGCACCAACAGGGATAATGTTCACAGAAAAGAAAAAAAAGAAAAGAAAAAAGCAAGTGTTTCAGGGTAAACTTAGAAGATTGGTCCGCTGTTCTGGGGAAGATATCAAAAAGCAAACTAATGCTTGAATCAAAAATAAACCTATACATTTCTAAAAACACATATTCTTTTTTTTTTTTTTTGCATTGGCATCATTGGGACTACAGGTGACAAACCTGAACAACACAAGGATAAAAGTGCCTAGATTATGATAATTAACAGTCATATAAACAGTAAAAAACATTCCCTCAACCTCGGACCAGCCAATGTTCAGCATTTAACGCCTGGTTAATGCTTTAAAAAAATGCAACCATATTGCTTTAACGACTCCAGGGATACCTGATGATTACTGCTCAGCCTAAGTTTGTCCTATCCACTCAGGCTCTGCTGTCCGAAAAGGGCTCACAGAAGTAGTTGTTGGTGCAAAAATGTATAATGCTGAGCTCATTTAGTGCAAATAAAATGTGATCTTGGATGTAATTGTTTGGCTTGATGCAACGCGAATTGTTTTAGAAATGCTGGTGTGAATATGAATTCAAGGTAATGCGCTGGCTCGTCCTGGTGAGGAATTGTCATTCAGTGGAACCTACTCAATCTACGGTAAATAACAGCTGCTAAGCCGTGTGAAGTCGGCATCTCAGCTGCATCAGTGTGTGCACGGTTTGTGCGAACGCAGCTGCCAACGTGTTTTTGTTTTTTTTTTCACTCAAAGTGCGAGTTAGCATCAGAGACGTGTCAGCAATCTGGTGTGTAGACTTGCGGATCCATCACAGTGATTTCACAGGTGTGTTCTTCCTCTACTGGGATAGGAAAGTTCCAAACCGTGCCCTGGGGAAAAAAAAAAAGAAGACATAAAAGAAAACGTGAGAACGCATGTCTTCTTTACACTTTGGATTTTCAGACTTAACTGTGCAGGCGTATCTACTGCACGTCTGGGCAAAGATGGCAAACGCGTTTACAGTCCTGAAACTAATCCTTTAAAAATGTATCCCTGCACTTATGTGTGAATGCCAGGATCCACACTCTATCCACGTGTGAAACAAGCTGCCCTGTGTTACAGTCTTTTTCATTATCGACATGAATTTTGGCACAATTGTGGAAAAGAAGCATGGGAATGAAAATTTTAAAAAGTTTTACAATTCTTAATTTATGAAGTTCACTGTAAAATAAAGCAAAAAAAAAAAAAAGATAGATTAAGAAGCTTTAAAATTGCTTTCAGTGCAAATAAGTTTAAGTGTTTCTTTGATTACAGAGGCTCTTGAAGTCATGAACAATAGTTTTACAATGTTATTGATGTTATTAAGCATTCAAATAGAGGAATGTAAAATTGGGTTTAAGAAAATAAGACCATCAGGGAAGAGTTAAGACTAAAAAAAAACCCCAAAAACTACAATTATCACCTTGCATGTGTTTGTTATAATGTCACGGTGAAGTTGATCTTTGACCACTTGAGTATAAAATATCAGTATGTGGAATTTTACCACAGTTACCACATGAATCCTTGAGTTACAGCCAAAAACGAGGTGACTTTAGATCACCAAAATGTAATCAGTTCGTTCTTGTTTCTGTCGAGACGCTCACCTTATTGTTGTTGTTGATGATGTCGCTGATGTAATCTGCAGGTTTTATGATTTTAGGGCAGATCTTTTTTATATTCCTGTACATTGAGAGAGTCGTATTAGAGGCAAATAGGAAACAGACTAAAATGAAAAGCAAAACAAAGTCGTCTTTACATACTTCCGGCAGCAGATAAACGTCAAGACCGCCAGGGCAGTGACCCCCAATGGGATGATGAAGGCCATGTACACCAACGCGTCGATATCTTTCCCTGCATCAAAAACAACAGCAACAGAAATGTCCGTCTTCTTAAAACTCAATGGAAGAAGTATTTTTCTACTCTTCTGATTTCATTTTGTAAAATAAATCTTTAAGATAAGAAAACCGTGACCGTACCAAAACACTCGTAAGGACTCCATGGTGTCTCTCCGCCGCCCGCTCTCTTAGCTTTAATAGCGATGCAGTACCTACAGTCAGGGTTTCGATCCAGCTCGCACGACGTGTTATTTGTGCGTTTATCCGGCTGAGAACCAAAGGAAAAAAGTGTCTTACAATTTCTGTTGTTGTGTGATTTCCTATCTATTTGGGCCTAAAAAAAAAAACCTTACAATTTTTATTTGTTTGTTTTTAAATATATTTTTTATTTTAATTTCACAGCATGTCCACTGTAGAGGACAACAGGACGAGATCCGAGTACAAATGAAACTGAATTTAGAAAATAAGCACCTAGAGCCAGCGCATTGACAATCTTGAGTGAGCATCTCAGCATTTTCCTGCTAATAACAGGCACTTTTTTTTTTAGCCCAAAACATTTTGACTCTGGGATAGCCAAGGCAGGTCATGTGTACTGAAATGCCAAAGACAATCTTGATTTCTTGGGCAGTAGTATTCAGTGACACTCCCGTAGTTTGCAGCTGTCTTTGATTTGTAAAAGCTGCCAGATCCTCAAAGATTTTGTCATCAGTGTACTGTGAAAAGCACTGGATTGGACTCCAGTATTCACGGATTGTAGGGTAATCTTGATAGGCAGGAAACTCAGGCAGCACAGGTGTGAATCTGTTATGATGGATGGATAAAAACACAAATAAATTCAAGTTAATAAAAGGAGCAACAGTTCATTTTTTCACATCAGTTTGGATTAATGCAGTAATTTCAGCATCATGGATGTGATATGACTCCCCACTGACCAGCTTTAAAAGCATATTTTTAGGTAACTTGCATCTACACTCACCGGCCACTTTATTAGGTACACCTGGCTAGTACTGGGTTGGACCCCCTTTTGCCTTCAGAACTACCTTAATCCTTCATGGAATAGATTCAACAAGGTCCTGGAAACATTCCTCAGAGATTTTGCTCCATATTGACATGATAGCAACACGCAGTTGCTGCAGATTTGTCGGCTGCACATCCATAATGCGAATCTCCCGTCCCACCACATCCCAAAGGTGCTCTATTGGATTGAGATCTGGTGACTGTGGAGGTCATTGGAGTACAGTGAACTCATTGTCATGTTCAAGAAAGCAGTCTGAGATGATTGGCGCTTTATGACATGGCACGTTATCCTGCTGGAAGTAGCCACCAGAAGATGGGTACACTGTGGTCATAAAGGGACGGACATGGACAGCAACAATACTCAGGGAAGCTGTGGCGCTGACACAATGCTCAATTGGTACTAAGGGGCCCAAAGTGTGCCAAGAAGATATCCCCCACACCATTACACCACCACCACCAGCCTGAACCGTTGATACAAGGCAAGATGGATCCATGCTTTCATGTTGTTGACGCCAAATTCTGACCCGACCATCCAAATGTCGCAGCAGAAATCGAGACTCATCAGACCAGGAAACATTTTTCCAATCTTCTATTGTCCAGTTTTGGTGAGCCTATGCAAATTGTAGCCTCAGTTTCCTGTTCTTAGCTGACAGGAGTGGACCTGGTGTGGTCTTCTGCTGCCCATCCGCCTCAAGGTTCGACGTGTTGTGCGTTCAGAGATGCTATTCTGCATACCTTGGTTGTAACGAGTGGTTGTTTGAGTTGCCTTTCTATCAGCTCGAACCAGTCTGGCCATTCTCCTCTGACCTCTGGCATCAACAAGGCATTTGTGCCCACAGAACTGCCGCTCACTGGATGTTTTCTCTTTTTCGGACCATTCTCTGTAAACCCTAGAGATGGTTGTGCGTGAAAATCCCAGTAGATCAGCAGTTTGTGTAATACTCAGACCAGCCAACAACCATGCAACGTTCAAAGTCACTTAAATCACCTTTCTTCCCCATTCTGATGCTCAGTTTGAACTGCAGCAGATCGTCCTGACCATGTCTACATGCCTAAATGCATTGAGTTGCTGCCATGTGATTGGCTGATTAGAAATTTAACGAGCAGTTGGACAGGTGTACCTAATAAAGTGGTCATGGGTGTATTTAACAGCATTTACACATACTACAAATACTACAGTAATCTAACATGATAATAAACTTACATAGCCTGAAACTAAATAAAACATACAAGTTAGTCCTGGCCCATAGAGCACAACGACTTTGCTGCTCCCTCTTTGCCTCTGACTCTATCTCATCAGATTCTCCTGCATCTTCTTCCTCTCCTTCATCATCATCTTCCCCTATTATAGGCTGATACTCATCCTCCGCATCCTTTATTGTTATTTACATGTTAATGAACAAGAATATATATAATTATTATGGCAAAAATAGCGTTAGATAAAGAATATTTGACTTACCTCACAACTTTCCATAAAATGTGGTTGTTGGTATGGCGGCCATCTTGATAGAGAAAAAAAATAAAGTCCCCAGCATGCAAACCCATCACATGACACATCACTGGAAAGCCCAGGATGTCCACTAAAGAATACTATAGGGCTTGATAGCTCCAAATACTTAAGGAAGATACAGGTGAACAAAATGTCTATTATAAAGGACATAAATGAATGGGCCGGGTCTCTGTGAAAAGTATTGGGGGGGGAAAACAAAACACACGTTATAACCGGATATTGTTGCTAGCTGAAAATACTACACAATTCATCCTGAAGGTGAACCGTCAGTGCAAAATCTGGTGCCAATCCATTAGGTCGATTTTAAGATGTTTCCCTTTCTACAGGAAAAATCCAGGCTCACCCGCTGAGGACAATGCAGATTTCTACTAGATTTCACGCTAACCTGTGCAACAGCTGTAATCTTCTCATTTCAGTCAGTGCGATATGACTGATTGGCCAAGAAGGATATAAATAAATCCCAAATATCAACAAACTCTTTACGTTTATTATATATGTCAATCTCTCCAGCCCGAGACCGATCATCAGCTCTTTTTTTCCCCACAGTCCAAGTGATGCTGGTTCTATACTCTACCAGCGTAGTGCAGTTTGGAGGAGCCCAAAGTCAATCATTCTCGTTTGCTTCGTTGTTGCTATGAAGTCCTTGGGGTATATTCCAAGCATACAAGTACTTGGCTTCAATGGAATATTATTTTTAATCACGTATGATAAACATTTAATTACTTTTCCCCAAAACATCTGAATCTTCGGACATTCCCATAAACAATGAACCAAAGTTCCTTTCTCATTTTAAGCATTTAACACAAACATCAGGATCGTTAGGGGATATATGGTGGAGTATAACCGGGGTTATGGAGATTCTTGTTAACCATTGATACTGAAGTAATTTTAGTCTTGTGTTGATATTTCTGCATGTCATTTTCCAATCTTCCTCACTAATATCTGCTTGTATGTCTGTTCTCCAAGCATTTAATCTGTCTGATGTTGATTCTGTTGAACATCTTGCTCTTCTATCCAAATTATTCAGCACGATTTCCTCAGTAGCTGATGGCGGCCATTTCCTTATATTTTGATGTTATCAAACTTCTTAATTGCAAATGTTTTTTAAAAAAAATTGTTTTCTGGGAATCTGATATTTCTGACAAAGTTGTTGGAACATAGGAAAGCCGCCCTCAAAATAAAGGTCTGAAACCCACCTAATGCCTTTTTTTTTAACCATAATTTAAATCCCCCGTCTAACTTACCAGGTTTAAATAGTCTGTTTCCCCAAATAGGAGAAAATTGTGATAAAATTATTGGTTCACCACTGTAATTATGTACTATATACCACACTGATGTTGTGTTTTTAACAAAAGGATTCTTCGTTTGCTTTATTAACATTTAAATATCTGACGAATACAAATATCGCTTTAATGGTAAGATTGAAACTGATTTCCGTTCAATATCTTCCCAGGCAGATGGTGTAGGTGGAGAAAAATAAGACATTGCAGAACTTAGTTGGATAGTCTGATAATGCCGTTTAAAGTTCAGGACCTGAAGTCGTCCTCTTTCGTGAGGTAGATATAACAACTTAAGCTGGAGTCTAGCTTTCCTGTTGTTCCAAATGAATTGACTAAACATATTATCACTTTTCCTCAAGAGATCCCTTAGTAAAGGAAGTGAGATTGCTTGCAAAAGATACATAAATTTGGATAGAACAGACATTTTAATTAAATTTATGCCTAGTAAAATTAAATAAAATTGAAGATTGGCAACCTGCTTCTGGTGCCACAAGAAAAGTCAGAGGAAGTAAGGAAGCTCCTCTGGGCATCATCAATGTCAGAGTCTCAATCAATCCAATTACATTCCTAACCCTAGAGAAAATACATTCAAATTGCTCAGATTCTGATTTTAAAGTTATTCAGTTTCATTGTTGTTTATTATCTGCTAAATATTATATTGTTAGGTTGTTATAAAATCCCTCCAATGCAATCCAGGTCAATGCAAAAGAGCACTGTCTCCAGTCTGAGCTCCTCACTCTGACTCAAGAGACCCAATAGAGGAAACCCATTTTGGCTGCCTGTATCTGCAATCCTGCTCTTTCGGTCACTGCCGACAGCTCACAGCCACAGGTGACGGTAGAAGTGTGGATCAGCTTGCTAACTGAGAGCTTATGTAGCTTTGCTTCGACATGTCATGAATGGGAATACCTGGTCTGCAACAATGTCAAACTGGCATCCACATGAATGCCAGGACCCAGGGTTTTCCAGCAGAACATTGCCAAGCCATCACAACACTAGGGACTTGTCTTTTCTCCCACATGCATAAGTAAGCCATGGGTACACCATCCTACTTCGGCTCACTGATCCCTTGGGCTACTTCTGGTAGGTACTAGCCACTGCATACTGGCACCTGTTATTCATTTCACCTGTCAGTGGTTTGATTGTTGTGTCGACCAAAAAAATTGCCATGAACCCTCCAGCACCAACAAAAAGCTGAAGACCTGGTCTTCTCTTCCACAGCCAATCAGTATCTGCATTAATCCTCCGAAGGTTCAGCAATCAGGCAGAACAACTGGGTAGACTGTCCTTTCCTTTAACTCTGTATAGACCAGGGGTCTCGAACTCCGGTCCTCGAGGGCCGCAATCCTGCAAGTTTTAGATGTTTATCTCTTCCAACACACCTGATTCAAATGATCAGCTCATCATCAAGCTCTGCAGAAGCCTGATAACGATCCTGATCATTTGAATCAGGTGTGTTGGAAGAAGGAAACATCTAAAACTTGCAGGATTGCGGCTCTCGAGGACCGGAGTTCGAGACCCCTGGTATAGACCTTCCAAGGGAGGCTGAGCAGAGCTATCCCCTGATGTGTAGAACAAACTCTCTGTGGTTCCTTTTTAAATATGCGGAATACCACCCCAGTCTGCCAATCTGTTGGCTCTATCCCAGACCTCTACTGGATAGGCTTATCAGCCAAGACAACCTTACAACGGCCAAAGCAGTAAGCATCTCAGGGTGAATCGCTTCAACTGGCACTTTGCTACCACAGTGCTCTTTAACCACCTTGGTGGCCTCCACCAGGGAAATGTACAAATGTGCCAGGCTTTGCCCCTAGACATTGACTGTCAGCATAATTTTTGCTTGTTCACCCACCTTTCCAAACAGTATCTTTTCGTGATTCTCGTAGATTAATCGTTGCAACTGGACTTTCTTGAGCTCCTTAAAGACGTTCCACCTCCATCCAAGAGGCTTCATCAGTTCTGACTGACGAGTTGGGAGTTCCAAATAAGGATATAAGTGGCTGGAACTCCCAACTAGTCAGTCAGAACTGATGAGAGATGGAGCTTCAAGATCTTCAAGGAACTCAAGCAAGTCCAGTTGCTACGATTAATCTACGAGAATAACCATGACTTGGATGACTGAGAATCTTCACAGACATATCTATTAAAAAAAACTCAAAGGCAAAAGAGGAATTTCAAAACCAATACATTCATATACATGATTTTCAAAGTGTTTTAGGCGTTCAAATGCTTCATTGAGCTCTTATTTACATCAATTAAAATATATAAAATAAACAGACTAAATTATACATGAATTAAAGAAAAAGATATTGGACACAAACATCCAAACATTGTGTTCATGTGTCTCTTACCTTCTGCACATTGCACTCGGTGTAATTTAATAGGAACGTCCATTCATTCAGTGGTGAGACGTCAGGCGGAGTCCAGCTGATATTGAATTTATCCTCAGTTTTCGTGACTGTCCATTGAAGAGCAGGCGGTCTCACTGTATGTATAAAAGGAAGTACAGACATTACAGTTACTGTTAAGTTACTGAGAGATCTCTTGGAATCCCCCTAACATGCATTTGCTGTCCTAAAAAAGAAAAATGTACTTATGCTGTACTACGCATTACACAACAATATGCCCACACAGACATCTTAACACACTGCTAAAATAGTTCCAAGAAAGGACAGGAACAACGACCCCTCTTATAACTCTTAGACTGAATGGGGAAGTGACATATTTCAACAGAACTGTGCCTTAAAAGGACTTTGAGGAGTCCACTGCATACCGTTCAAGGCAAGTTTTCTCTCAAAGGTGTTTCGGACGAGTCTGTTGTTCAGTGTTCCATTAAAGAAGACGAAGATGTTGTGATTGTCGGTGGCCTTCACTTCGCAACCAGTCCTCACACCACCAGTGTAGTTGTACAATGAGCACTCTTGTAATTCTGAGTTCCCTCCAGCATAGTGGTTTTCTAACCTTGGAAATATAAAGAAAATGGAAAGATAAAGAAGTCATTTACTGCAATGCTGCACAGTGTTCCAGAAAGTCAAGTTTTGTTGAGATTTTGCTACTCAAGCCTGGGAAAAAAAACACACACAGCACAATAACACATTGCTCAGCAAAGTTAAGGGAATGGTTCCGCATTTTGAGGAAAAAAAAAAAAAAACTTTTGTGCTGAAAGTTTAATAAAAGGATCAACACCGCTCCTGTGTCTCTCTGGTAAATATGAAGCTGTAGTCAGCAGGTGATAACTTAGGTAACTTAGCAAAAAAAAAGACCGGAAACAAGAAAGAAAAGCTATCCTCACTCTGTATAATTATTTCTTAGAAGTAGGGACAGTGTCATGCTGATAACAACACTCCAGGAAGTTACTGCATCCAGGCAGCAAAAGATTGCAGAATGTTGAAATGCTTCTTCAGTCTAAATGGTTTACATAGTTTAACAATGTCCCTCACATCGCCTGCCATCGGGGTCAGTGTCTCGCACGGGGACGCCTGCAGATGTCGATCCAGTAACTGATGAACAGCCTGCTCTACAGAAACCTGAACTACGGAGCTGACTGGTTGTACTGACTGATCAATTTGCTGATCAAAAAAGAAAAAGAAGCAAAATAAGTAAAAATTTAGACTCTTGTGACCTTCAAAAAGAACTTCAGTCTCAGATACTTATATTCAGATCTCTTATAAATATCATAAACAGTTACATTTTTACATGATGACTGATGCATGTCATCAAAACACACCATAAAAAAAATACAGTTTATGTTATGAGAGTTCTACATTTCAAATCTTTTAATGTGCAGTCTTGTGGGGATCACTGACACTGCGTCTGCCTCGTTGTCTGATATACTAGAGACGTCAGTTACGGCAACTTAAATGTAATCACATGTATAAGTACTGTAGGTGGGAGAGACATGGAGCACTCACTGGAGGCTACAAGATGTAAAGAAAAAGAAACTTCTCTGTATTTTGTAGGTTATTCAGATTGTATTATGATAGGGACAAATGGTGATTTGCTTGTATTTGACTAACTGAAAATCCAAAAGCTGAAGCCAGTTTCCTTAAACACCATTTTCCAAGTGAACGCTGTGCCTTGGAATCATCAGTGGGATGATAAAGTTAGCTTTAACATACCAGCAGTTCTGCCAGCTCAAGCAACAACACAGTTATCGATGAAAAGTGTAGACACTTATCCCTTCTTTGTCTGTTGCTGTTAAATGTGTCAAAGTAGAAGCCAACAAGTTGTGGTTTACGCCACAAAATGCACATTTGATGTTCTAGGAAGTATTGACAGTGTGTCAGGGGTTAACATGCCCTTGGTAATAAAGGAACATGTCACCTGTGCAACCGTGTGGCATATTTAAGAGTTTTATATCATTTGGAAAACAATGGAGCTCTATTGCGTAGAGGAATAACATTTAAATTTCTCCCATATTAGCTTTTCTTACTGCTTCACTTTAAGAATAGAATTTTAAATTCTTATTCTTGTATTCTTAAAGACCAAGGAGGCAAAGAATTGTAGCATTAGGCTCAAAACTTTCCTGTTTATTGAAGCTTACAGTTAGAGCTGGTTTAGGTGAACCATCCATTAGTTATGCTGCTATAGGCTTGGATTGCTGGCGGACCTCCTAGGAGCACCTCTCCTCTACTCTTACTCTCCATTCATTTCTATTGCACGTCATTAACTTTCTGTCGTCTTACTCCCAGTTTATGCTTTGGCTCCTCTTTCCCTGAACCTTCCTGCGGCTAACTCTGTCTCCAGAGCGGGATGCACATATATATGCACACACACAGCACATTTCAAACAAGATGCTGTTGACAACTGTACAAAATGGATACTTCTTCTACTAGACTGATTATAATTCTAATGAATGTAATATAGACTCAAGGTGGCTCGGTGGTTAGCACCGTTGCCTTGCAGCAAGAAGGTCACCAGTTCGCGTCCTGGTGAGGACACCTGGGATCTTTCTGCGTGGAGTTTGCATGTTCTCCCCGTGCAGCGTGGGTTCTCTCCGGGTTCTCCAGCTTCCTCCCACACAGTCCAAGAACATGTTGAGGTTAATTGGTGATTCTAAATTGTCCGTAGGTGTGAATGTGAGTGTGCTTGGTTGTCTGTCTCTAAGTGTAGCCCTGTGATAGACTGGTGACCTGTCCAGGGTGTCCCCTGCCTTCACCCTGAGTCAGCTGGAATAGACTCCAGCCCCCCGTGACCCTAGTGAGGATTAAGCAGTGTACAGATAATGGATGGATGGATGTAATACACTAATACGCTATGCACCTCTTTTTTAACACTATAAAGTACAATAACACGTCTTTCCCGCGAGGCAGGAGAAGACACAAAGCCAACTCGATATTGTGTAAATCGTCAGAGTATCTGCATATTGCGGGTGACAAAGGTGAGAAATCAAGTGGGAACAAACGGGAGCCTGATTTTTTTTTTTTTTTTTTAAATTCCTGCACAGAGCTTAGCGTCTGTCATTACTTCAACGCTCGTCTTTTCTCTGCCCTCCTTTCACCCAAACTGATCAAGGCAGACAACCGCCCACGCTGAGTCTGGTTCTGTCAGAGGTTCCTTCCAGTAAAATGGGAGCTTTTCCTCCCCACTGTCAGTTTGCCCTCATTGTATAAAGTTATGTTACCAAATATGACTCGGGTCTCAAAAATATAAGCCTCCCAAAGTCAACAAACAGCAACTAGAGAAATAATAAAAAATAACTGAGAAAACTGAGGCACTGAACTCAAGGACTCTAACCTTGATGGAACCATAGTTCACTACTTTTACTCTAGTTCAGTTTGGTTCTCATGCGGTGATACAAACCAGGAACCAGTGCATCAGGAAGTGTTGCAAATCAGCAGCACTTGAATTTCTCTGTAACTACTCTCTGACAAGTAACATATATCCTCCCATGAGCAGTTCAAACAAAATACTCTAGAAAGACTGTTCTAAAAATACAGGCCCCCAAGTACAAATTCAAAATACATGAACATGGTTGAGAAATTGCAAAATCTTATTCTGAGACGTCACAAAGATGGGAAACGATAACTGCGACAAACTGAAATTCTATGGAAACACAGCTTCAGCATGAATCAGGAGATACAAAGCAATAGTTCTGCCAATCAGAGCGACGGTGGTGTTTGACAAAACGATTCCATGGACGTTCTTTTCTCAGACGAGCCCAAGTACAACTCATTCAGCTGTGTTTTCCGTAAACCTGGCTAAGACTACCACAGTGAATGCGTCGTCCTGACAGTGAAGCACAGGTGTGGGAGTGTGACGAATGCCTGGTGGATATATACGAAAATACTGGTTGACAAGATGCCTCCTAATCTCGGGAAGCTTAGCAGAAGAGAAATCAAATCTAAATGTACAGATAAATATATACAATTTCAACATTTTCCTCCAGCAAATGTATATCAGCTCCTACTGATTATATTAGTATCCATCCATAATCTATACAACGCTTAATCCCCACAAGGGTTGTGGGGGGGCATGAGCCGACTCAGGGCGAAGGCAGGGGACACCCTGGACAGGTCGCCAGTCGAGACCGACAGCCACTCGCATTCACACCTACGGACGATTTAGAATCACCAATTAACCTCAACATGTTGTTGGACTGTGTGGGAGGAAGCCGGAGAACCCGGAGAGAACCCACGCTGCACGTATAGAACATGCAAACTCCACGCAGAAAGATCCCAGGTGTCCTAACCGGGACATGAACCTAACTGTGAGGTGACAGTGCCAACCGCCAAGCCACCTTGCAGCCCTGGTGTAAGATATGAAAAGTAAAACTCAGTTGATCCTTACTTGGAATCTCGTGATAAGAAAAACACGGAAAAGCACATACCTATAGTAAAACCGAAGATCTGAAGTATGACTGTCTGGGACCCAACCACAGTGAGTGTTTCGGCGGGTATAGACGTAGCACTCAAAATTTTTCACCAGCTCTGGGAGGGACAGACACACATACGTACATGTTAAAGAACAAACAGAGAGACATCAATTCAGTTCAAAAATACCACGCTTTTTTGATCGAGAAATGACAGATTTTTCCTCCTAACAGCAATAATGACCAAAATTAGATACCTGGGTCAGAGAAGACATGGACTGCCGGTTTACTGTATATGCCATTGCAAACAGCTATGACAGAAAAGTTCAGAAATCCTCCACTCATTATGATCGAGGATCTCTCCCAGGAACATGTGTCCAGCTGAAACCACCAATAAGAGAAGGAGAGAAGATAGTATTAACAATGTCAACGCTATGGATCTTATACGTGCTGCAGGATGAGCACAATTCATACATGAGCTTTAAAACAAAATATTTCTTTCTAAATATAAACTTGCATGTATACTTACAAATGATTTTCTGTAGTTCTTCACCTCCCGATTGTCAACTGACACTTCATATGTGCAGTTTCTCCCTTGATGCCGTGGTGGCGACCAGGACAAGTGAGGTTGGAAAGCACCAATCCACTGCAGCGTCACATTTTGTGGTGGTAAGATTTTGCCTTAGATGGACAAAGAGAAAAGAGAGAAAACATTGGTTTCCGGCGTGCCTTCATTAGCCTGTTGATCTGTGAACTCCAATTTTTTTCTACTTTAAGTGTGTTTTTGCTTGTGTCAAAAATGTCTCTTCCTGCAGCAGTGCGTTGGAATTCGTCTAAATCCTTCGAGGAAATGTCTGAAATGCCAGACAAGCTTGATGCAACCAACAAAACAAGCAGCTGGACAACATCTGTGCTGCTCTGAGTCAGTCACCATTTTCATAGCTCGCAGACAAAATCTGTTGGTACAGTTCCAAAGATCGTGGTAGAAATTGTACAACTAAATTCAAATTTACGAGAAAGAGTAATTATGCAACTGTACAGGAAGTCCTTCCTTCCTTTGGCCGTTCAGTGGAGCAATTTATCAATATTAGTCTCTGGCTGAATGTGCTGTTCTAAATCACCGTGAAGAGGGTGGAAGGCGTTCATGATGACAAGGAGTTGTAAGCACATCTTCCTCTACTGCTACTGTATGCAGATGGTCCCGCTACACCCTAAGAACTGAACTGGCCTTCTGAAATGTTCATTTTAAGGAGAGACGCATGAGGTGATTCTCAGTCGGTTCACCATTTAAAGAGTCAGAATTAAAGTAGTCGCTGCAGGACTTTGGAGAGGCTTTGATTTGTACATGCCTTCCAACGAATGAGCCAAATATGTGCTATGTCTGCATGTTGTGTTTGACATGACGGGCAACGTGACCGTCGGCACAGACTGGCACAGACGCGTCACACTGTAGTACAAACAGAGCCAGAAAGCATTATTTGATCCTTGTGGCTAATGGCTCTGCTGTAGAACACCATGAGTTCCTGTTTGTGACCATTAACTTGAGATTATTCTGATTAAGATTACATTTTAATGACCACAAAAGAATTTTTTTTTTTTTTTTTTAAGTATTACCAATGATGTTGACTGTCACCTTGGGCAATACGGTTCGTCACTAATCTGCAAAATATCCTGCCTTTGTTGTGCTATCAAGTTATCGGCTGCCAAAAAGCAATTATGCCCTTCCTGTTGAAGTTTATGTAGCGCTACATCTGCTTTTATCTGAGTAAAACAGACAAAACATGCTCACAATGTTGTAACGGGATGTCTACCGGAACAGCAAAAGTGTTTCTCCTTTAAACAAGGCTTTTAATTGTAATTATGGAACCAAAAAAATGTGCAATTTAAAGCCTAATCAGGCACAACATCATAATGATTATAAGCAATACTGTTTGGTTGTTGGTTTACGGATGGGTTTCGCATCTAAAATTGAGAATTTGTCTCTTTTCCTGGTATCCCTGTGGGCTATAATCTTTGAACTATAACCATCGTGGATAAATAAAAGTTATTTTGATGCATTAAGGACATCAGTCAGTCACGCTGTAGTGGCAGCAGTCACTTTTTGTCAAGTGGAAAACATTCTATGTCTTGATGTGGTGCTTTAAAGATTTTTTTTTGTAGCTGCTACAAAGAATTAGATTGGTTAGAATTTAGGGCACAGAGCAGATAAAATCATACAGAGACTTAAGAACAACTGCTCCCACTGGCAACAATCAGTTTTTGCCACAATAACTTCTTTATATATCTTTGTCACAAGTGTCTGATATCCAGTTTTGGAGGATCATTGCAAAAAAAAATATTCATTTATGTATAAAATCTATATATATTGGCCACCATAATCTCTGACATAAGGTGATCTTATGGAATACAATGTTTTGCTGTAGATTAAACTACACAAAGTGGTTTAAATGAGCCTTAGACAAAAGAAAAACAACACAGGAGTACTTCATCCACCACTACACATTTGCATGTAAGATATCAACACTTCAAAAAATCACTTTCACTCTGGTTTGTCTCACACACAGAAGCTCAAACAGTGTATGTAAAATTAAATATTTCTTTTCAGCAAACTTTAAACAGAACCACCCAGCCAGTTCATGAGGTTTTTTTTTTTTGGATATTTTTACATATGAGGAAATCCCAGTGAGCGCTTCTTCGTCACATTCCCCACCCTGTCCCCGTGGGTTCCTTCTTGTTCAAGGATGATGCATACCCAACATGACGTCACTGCTGGGAAACTGTTGCACTGTGTATCGTGGAAAAGTAGGAGAAGTCTTCGAACAGGCGGAAAAACAACAATAACATTGTGCGTAATGAGCGCGATGTTTGCGTAATGAGCGTAATGGGTGCGTCAATCGTCTTACCTGTTTGGGATGTAACTGTTAGAAAAAGACAGCTTAAAACGAATAGGTGTAGAGTCTGAAACATTCTGCTCGTCATTTTCCGTAAGCTGTCCTCAGCTGTTGGTGTAAGGAGAAAAAGTTTCTAATCCGGTGTCCGACTCGTTTTCTCAAAGCGAAGACATACAAATATCCGTCCGTCTCTCTCTCGGTGTGTGTGTACGTGTGTGTCTGGCTTGTCGACTTCTGTTTCGCTTCCAGCTACTTTTGAGGAAGACATGCAAACTTTTGGGAGGCTGGACGTAGGCGGTGCGCTTCCTCCTTCTGATTGGGACACGCGGACTCAAAACGAAAACGAACCAACAGAAAGAAGGCGTGAAAAAAACTGATACAGGATTAGGAATATTGAGAATTGCGGTAAGATTGATTGCTTGAAATTCCATATAACAACCGCATTCTTTTTAACTTTTATCCTCTGAAGAGAGACACACCTCCATCCATTGAATTAGACGCTTAAAGTGCGCTTTTACGCACCAACAAAAAAAAAAAACCAAACGAACTGGTGAACATTTGAACTGACAGATATCACCATCAATCAAACTTCTTCAGTTTATTACTTCTATTAAAGACAATTAATGTTTTCTAGAATACAAGATTACTGTCGTTTTATTGCGTGGATATTCAAATGGGGTTTATTTCATTAAAACTGCACAAAACCTGTAGAGAAACCAGCACATTGAAGATATATTAAAAATGAACACCCGAATGTGTATTTTGGATTTTTTTTCACCTCACATTAGTCGGAAAGAAAACACATTATGGAAGCACAGTAACCCAAAATCTCAAAACAAACCAGTACATGAAAATTGTTAGTTTCTTATCTTAATGATATATACATCCACACACACACACCTGGAGCTTAAACTGTAACTCACAGTGTATATTTTTTTTTTTACATGTTAACAGGTAGTAGTTAAATCACATTATTAAAAAAAACAAACAAATGTCTTCCCCCTAAATCGACACTTAGGACCCCAATGGCCAGAATGTAACCACTGATGTATGACGTCCATTACAGTAGACAGTTAAATATTTACTCAGGAAAAGAAGAAGACGTAATGTGTTCCGCCTCCTCTTAACTGTAATCAGTAAAACCTCTTTTCTTGTTGCCATTCCTCCACTGAAGTTGGCAAGGAAACACAAAGGGGAGATTTTACAGTAAAATGGAAAACTCGATTCACATGTTCAGGGGCGGAATCCTCCTATCAGCTTTAGATAAATATTTGAATTCGTTCCTGGATGAGAGGCACAAAGATTGTGGTTTCATGAAAGCAGAGAGGATTTTTTTTTTTCTTTCGGGAGAATTCCGTGTTGACGTTTCTTGAAGTTACAGTAAATAAGAACTAACATCATGGAGTTGCGTCTGAAGCTGTGACCTGCCCACTTACAGTGAATCAGACGGACAAGATGAGACAAGCTCATTCCGATGAATCACACCCACACACAGCTACATTTTTCTTAATTACAATTAATTACAGCAATTACACCAACAAGTGCTGGTATATCCAGCTATGTACAAGAATAAAGACACGCCCGTCATTTTCTAAGGAAGTAAAAACATACTACTAACGGTGACATTCTAGACAAGAGTGTGAATGACAAAGCAAACAGAGGATTACACAAAACCAACCGATTACTTTAATATATGCTCAGCTGTGTGCACAATTCTCATCGCTGCTCTCTTTCCAAAAAGGCTGCAAGTTGTGTGCAAAGGTTGAAAATGCTTCCAAACACCCAGGGTCACATTTTTTTTTCTTTTCTTTTAAACAAACATTGTAAAAAAAATAATCTAAAATATGCAAGACATGTGGTGTCATGAGTGTCTACCAGGAAAGTTCATGCAGGTCCGCGTATGTCCGGACTGACGGCAAGGTGTAATCCCTTTTTGACATGCGTTAATACCAGCTTAACAGAGTAAATAAAGTCAGGTTGTCTCAAGACTAGATATTCAGAATTTCACCACAGAAAAAGAAATGTCAGGTCTTGCAAAACTGGCCATCTGACATGCAAACAACACATTAGTCCTTTGGAGACATCCATGCCAAACAAGCTGCTTTCCTCATTTGAAGTGAATTTGTGGAGGTCAGTAGAGGTGCAGCAGCAGCAGTCGCCCTTGGCTTCCTGTGCAGTCACTGAATTACCGTTAGTGGTATGCGAAACTTCCTTCGCCACCACTTGGATTATTGCTTCCTGCCTTTTTTTGTAGCTGCCAGGATGTCGGTCATACTGGCGTTGGGTTGTCAAAAGAGACAAACACGGCTCATGCTGTACCAAGACAGAGGTCTGTTTTTTTTCCCCTCTTTTGTTAGATCAGTCCAGGCGTCAACGTCCAGGGCTGAAAAATGAAGTCAGAAATGAAGTGCGAAAAGCTCAAGTGGCCTCTTGAGGTTGGCTCTAGAAAATCCCCCACAGACCCTCATGTTAAAACTCTACAGCAGAAATAAACGTGATTGTAGCCTGGTTCAAAAAAAATAACATTTTAGTCTCTGTAGTTCATCTCCCTGTTCATGACACCTGCAAGAAGGGGGGAACTTTTATAAAACACAGCCCTATTTTCTATTAAGGTTTCAACTTAAAGGATGTGGCTGCTTTGAGCAAACACACAGAACAGTCCACGACTCGGGGACATTTTCACGGCTCGTCCCAGCTCCATTCCACCTCTTTATCCATTTTTGCATCACCTGGATGGAGGAGTCGGGCACTGGAAAGCTACTGATGCCCAGATCCAACATCCTGAGCTTCAAGAAAACCTGAGCATGATGTGTCCATTTTTATATACAGTCCCTTCTGTTAAAATTACACAGCAGATATCTAGGAATAGGGCTGCAAGGTGGGGGCACCGGGATCTTTGTGCGTGGAGTTTGCATGTTCTCCCCGTGCAGCGTGGGTTCTCTCCTGGTTCTTCCTCCCACAAGGTCCAAAAACATGTTGAGGTTAATTGGTGATTCTAAATTGTCCATAGGTGTGAATGTGAGTGTGCTTGGTTGTCTGTCTCTAAGTGTAGTCCTGTGATAGACTGGTGACCTGTCCAGGGTGTCCCCTGTCTTCACCCTAACTCAGCTGGGATAGACTCCAGTCCCCCTGTGATCCTAGTGAGGATTAAGCGGTGTATAGATAATGGATGGATAGATGGATATCTAGGAATGCACCAGCTCCTCTTACTGGTAGATCCAGTAAATACAGCATCCGTGGGTCCACTCTATCCATAGATTCGGTGCTTCATCATCAGCTATAGACTCCAGGCCTCCCGCAACCCGAGGATTAAGCAGTGTGTTGATAAGGCGTGGGTCATCAGCTGACATGTGCTCCTCCTTCCAGAGCAACTTCTTAGCAGGTAAAAATCTTGTTTTGGTGACATCTAGTGGTTGAAGCGGTCGGTGCAACAGACTAGAAACTTTCAGTGAAGCTTTCCAGTCTGGTTTACTCTGTCAATGCTCCTGATAAATTCACTCAGAAAAAAAGTCCCGCTGCACTGAAGGCACCACTGTGTAGGCTGACATGTCGTCAGTTTTGCTGGAAAACGCCGTTTTCAGTTAAAGGGGTAATTACGCAGTGTTCTACGGGTTCCAGCACCGGCGTGTACAGACTCTCTGATGTGGTCTAGATAAGAAAGAAAAAAAAGAACAGCGTATTAAGTGTAGGCAGAAAGAACAGGTGAGTTGAGCTCAGACACTTTTATGTTTTCCTAAAATGTACCTTCATCTCTTTGTTGCCGTTCATCATCTCCTTGAATATGGCCGAGGGGTCTGGCATGGTGGGACAGAGAATGGCTCTGTGTCTACAAACAAAACAACAGCATAGCGTGTCAATGACAACAAAACAACAGCATAGCATGTCAATGACAACAAAACAACAGCATAGCGTGTCAATGACAACAAAACAACAGCAGAGCGTGTCAATGACAACAAAACAAGTGATGTGGAAACATCTTGTGCCCAGATGGTAAACTTTTTGAAATTAAGCGATCCAGAAGAAGGAAAATGAGAGAATTTTTAACAAGATGTCGAGGTTTAAAGATCAAACAGTATCCTACACGACTACAAGCACATTCCTTCCTATGACTCTTCTTTGCTGCTCGAAGTGACGGGAAGTTTCGGTGTTACATGAATGTATAAAGTGTTTCATGTGTGGGCTATGGTGCACCGCTCAGGGCCCATTACATGCAGGAATCAAAGGAGACAACATCCACCATTATTCCCCCTAAAGTGTAGGCTTTACAACATAAGCAGGGAAATGACTTTAGAGCTCCTACAAGCAGGAACCGAATATACAAGTTTGTTTATTCGGCAGTAAGCTCCCACGGGAAAACATGTGGAAGCGAGTCATAACCCACAGTGCTTGAGGTTAAACAGCAGCACAGTGCTTATTTGTTTAAAGGTTCTGTGAGGAGCATTGAGAACCACTAGATGTCGCCAGAGTACCAGCATCTCAGATGGAAGCAACCAGGCGTGTCATAGAAGAATCAGTCTTTTTGTTGCACACAAATTAGACATGGGTATTTTTAGGCACTGGATACTGGATGCTGGACTGTGCTTACAATGCAGCCATGATCATTGTGTCTAGAAGCTCACGAACTCGAACATGAAGGTGGACTGGCTGCCAAAAACACAGAACAGAGAATTCCAACACACACACACAAGGAACTCTATTTACCGGACGCCATTAATCCACTAAATTTACAACAGTTGTTTGTTGCTACTGTGAGGTTATATTTAGGTTCACAGTCTTTCATGTTGCACCTTTAAGGTAGTAAAGCTTCTGTTTATATGATGGGAAGTTAGTGTGTTGACATATAAACCAAGGAGGAAGGAGAAGGAGAGAGCTGTTGCTATGCCAGACTTGTGTGTAAACATGGGGCTATTTCCTGGAGGCAGTTCCAGCGTAATGTTGGCCAACGCTACCGAGTCATCTTTGCCTTCAGGATGGCAGGTTTGTTTCCACCGTCAGTCAAAAATAACAGCAACTTTGTGCGACATTTGTGTTTTCTGCTGCTGGATTGATTTCATGTTAAAGAGCATTTACGTACAACAAAGTCTTGATTATGCCAGTTATTTATCAATGTTATCCACTTACATCACCTCATAATCAGGTTTTTGTCGCTGCAAATCTCAACTATTGTTCCTCACGGATCTGTTTTACAACATCGGTCCTTAAAATAGTTTATAAGGTTCGATGTAGAGACACTTGGGACACACACAGGCTCACTTTGGAGAGGTTACACTGGGGTAAAACTCTTTCCAATACATACCTCCTGAAGCAGTAGCAGGACAGGATGACGCCGATGGACAGAATAACGGGGATGACGATGGCGACCACAGTCAGCGCTCCATCGGACAGCTTTCTAGAGCCTGTGTTATTACCTGTGACGAAAAAGAGGCCCATTTTCTTCAGCTTTTCCAGATAATTTCAAGCTTTTTGCTCGAGTCAGGAAACGTACAGCATTAAATAAGGACTAAATAAGGCTGTCTGGGTATGAGACTGCTTACAACAACTTCTGTGTGCAACATCACAGACGCCCCCATCGGGCACCTCAGTCACACCTCCACCCCCTTTAACTTTCATTTACAACCATAAAGGTGCAGAAGAGCCAACAAAGAATAATCCAGCATTGTAAAATACACCGAATGTGTCCGTTTTCACGAGCTGGAGCCGAACAGACGCCAGCGAAGAAGGAGTAACAGAGGAGAGCCTCAGAGCAGCAGTTAGAGACTGAAATTAATGGGAGTGCTTGTAAATGAAGTAGATAACATAAAATACTTCTTGGGGATGTTTTGGGGCTGGATGCTGGACTGCACATTTTCTTTTCCAGTGTGGCATGTGAGGTCGTAACATACAACAGCGAAATCATGGGATTAAAATACAGTTTTATTCATACAAAGATCCAACTCTGTGTGAGCCTCATTGCAGTGTACTGAATAAACACATCAGGACAAAACAACGGAAGTGAAATTGCTCGGACGGTTACCATAAAATGCGACTCCAACGCCGTCGCTGGATATTTCTGGGCAATGCGGATTTGTTGTGAAATTAAATTTGAACTCGTAACGGCAGCTTTTATCAAAGGCAGTCACCGAAGTCCTATCGTTTCGGACCTCTTTGCAATGCTGAAAAATGGCAAGAACAAAAAGCACAGTGTTTGATTTTGTCAGTGTAGAGAAGCTATATGATGTGAGGCAGGCATTTGTGGCAACTGAAATATGAACAAGAAGAGCAAAACCTCATGACATAAAAGAGGGAGGGCTTCATATTTTTACGTTGCAACTTACTTTGTGCTGATTGCATTCGCTGTAGCAGACCATGTAAATAAAATGACAGGTTTTCAAATTGTCTCGACGTGTCCATTCCAGGTGAAGTGTATCTTCATCTTCTTTGAAGCTCACCTTTGGCAGAGGCACCACTAAAAAGGATTATTAAAAAAATATCCAATACATTTGATCTTGTACTTGACAGCAAACAATTAAAAACGACTGATAATATAACGAGATATTAGAGGTAGCACCGACCACGTTTAGGTTTGAAGGTTTGCCATCCAGCTTCATTCTCAGCAAGCACATAGAAGAGTTGGTCCTGAGCATCAGTTTCCAAGGAACAACCGTCCCTCAACCCATCGCTGTAAAACTGATGACACCGATGAATCTGATGATTGTGTTCAACCTGTAACCTGTAATGACCATAATGAACAAGCGATAAGATTGACACATTCACCCACTAGCTCACTGACTGTGGATCCTGCAGTTCCTTCAGTTGCCATTAGAGGCTGATAAAACGTACGGATTGAAAAATCATGCGGCCATAAATCTACATAAAAAAACATATAAACAATGCAATGGTAATGTTAATTATCATGGAATCCATGAATGATAATGCACTACGATATGTAATTCCTAAGACAGAATTCCAAGCTGTAGCTTCTAATTCTCACCTGTAGGTGATGTCCACGTCACGAGATGGACTCACTGGCTCCCAGGAGCAATTTGTTGGACTGGACCCAATGGAACATTTGAAGTCTTTCACCACTTGAGCTGTACGGGACAAAAACAAAGGTGTCACATACAAACTAATCTGACTCTATAGCATCACAGAAAATGACTTACAGTGTTATCGCCATGTCTGCTTTTTGTTTCTTACCGTGTGGCTTCGGTGTTGTGATGTATGCGCTCTCAGCTTTGCTGTTATTCCAACCAGCACAGTTCTTCGTTTCTTCAATCTGTGCATGAACGCTGAACTCCAACTGACCAGAACCAAGTTCTTCAGTTAGAAAATCCGTTGAGTGGGACTTTTTAGTTGTGTACACCTGTAACGTAAAAGAAAACAACATGGTTTTATTGACTCTGCTAATCCATATTTCAATTTGAAGTTAAAAACAAATCTACCGGAGAAAAGTTTTCTTGAAAATGAAAAAGCTCTACAGCAGTTTAGAGGCTTGATTGACATTTTCATTTTCATCTTATTGCTTTTAAATTTATTTCTGGGCTTCATATCCAACATAAACTACTGGGGTCATTTCAAGGTGTTTGGCACAGTGTTTGGGTTTTTGCTTCAGAACTTGAATTCTG